CCATAATCTTGTGTTGCGTCAAACGTGCCAAATGTGGACGTGCATTGTTGTGGAGAAGAAGAACACCTTTCTGATTGACGAGTGAAGGGTGTTTCTGATGAAAGGCTTGATTTAAACGTTCCAGTTGCTGACTATAGATCTTTGCATTGATAATTCGCTGTGGACTGAGGAGTTCGAAATGAAAATTACCCCTATGATGTCCCACCAAATGCAAAGCATCACTTCTGCGGATGGAGTCTAGGTTTTGGAATAGGAAGTGGTTTTTGTCTAGGAGGGGGGTAATGAAAGTGTTCCAAAACGCGACATTAATTTCTTGACGACCTAATACTAATTAAAGGAGCGTAAAATGCCCTTTTCCCCAATATTAAAATGGACAATACATAATTGGTTAATGTCTTTGACACATACGTACAATTAGTTTGACAGATTGGCTTACTCTTCTATACATATTTGCAGTTTGCTGTTAAAGTATTAACTGACGCGACGTTCTACAGATTGTATCTGCCTGGAGTTAAGATGGCTTTTCGGTTTTGTGGTGAATCTTCATCAGGTCTTTACTTGATTAACACTTGTTTGTTCGTTTTAGTTTGTTTTTGTTTTGAATTTCGCACACAGCTAGCCGTCCCTAATTTAGCAGTGAAGAACTAGAGGGAAGGTAGCTAGTCATCACCACCCACCGCCAACTCTTGGACTACTCTTTTACCAACGAATTGCGGAACTGACCGTCACATTATAACGCCCCCACGGCTGAAAGGGCGAGCATCTTTGGTGGGACGGGGATTCGAATTCGCAACCCTCAGATTGCGAGTCGAGCGCTCTAACCACCTGGTCATGCCGGGCCCTTGTTCGTTTTAGAGCAAAGTCGCAATAAGCTATCTGCTTTCTCCACCGCGAGGAATTGAACCCCAGATTTTAGCGTAATAAGTCCGTAGACTTACCGCAGTTCCACTGGGGGACCTTTATGAAGGCTTTAGCAAAAGTTTATCTAACTCTCATCTCTTTATGGAGTCCATATATGATTTATCGCCAGTGCTATGTAACTTGACTAAACTGTCTTCAAAATTGGGAATTAAATACAGTAGTATAATCTGAAACACTGCTCGTTTACAGCGGTATAATCTGAAACACTGTTCTTCTATAGCAGTATAATCTGAAACACTGCTCGTTTACAGCGGTATAATCTGAAACACTGCTCGTTTACAGCGGTATAATCTGAAACACTGCTCGTTTACAGCGGTATAATCTGAAACACTGCTCGTTTACAGCGGTATAATCTGAAACACTGCTCGTTTACAGCGGTATAATCCGAAAAGTTGAATCGACTTGGAACACATGTTCAATAGGAATGCGAACAAAACCGTAAAGTACACGAACAAAACGATATTAAAATAAAAACCTGAACTGTTTCGAACTGTAATATTTCTTTATAACGTTGCTTCTAGTAGTTGTTGTTGTTTTATTTATTTATTGCTTTCATCTTGGTATTCTTTCCAGAATTTGGGATTATTACAATTTGTTTTTTACATAATATTGAGTTTTAGTAATTGTTTAGTAATTTTAGTTTTCATTAATTGAGAAGTAATTGAATATTTCATTCCGTTCTTAAGGGGGCCATGTTTTGTGAGAATGAAAAGCGTTATAAATGTTTGTTCTTATCTTGTATTCTTTAGCTTAAACTAAAATCTTAGTCTTTAACGAAACAATGCTTTTTATATTGCTCTGATTCGATAATGTGAAAACTATTTTTGTTGGTTGATAATATGTATCTTTGACATGCGTTATTCTTATTATTATTGTTGTTGTTGTGATGCTAAGAATTTTAAACATTTTTTTTATCGAAATGTAAGTGTTGTTTTACATATAAGTAAATTGATATTTTATTTTTACAATTAAAATACAGACTACATAAATAAAGGGATGGACAGACAGATAGATATCTAATAAGACGTTAAGAATTTAAAATTTTCGGGACACAAAATATGTTTATAGGTTATAAACGAGGCACATTGCCTTGAAAACTCGGAAATGCTGCTGCTCATGCAGTGAACAAATCTTCCGGGATGATCGAACATTACCTGTACAAACAACGAGTATTTCGCCACTAGCGCGGGGAAGGCTACAGCTATAGACTAAGGAGGCTGGACCATGAATACAGGCTGATGTTGAGTAGCGGTGACTGTAAGACACAGCATCAGACTTTGTAAGAACCTTAGCAGACTTGATGTTCTTAGCAGCTGTATGCACCCTAACATTAGCTCCGAAGAGGAATACCGAGGAGGATGTCTTGTTCTGGGGTAGACCAATGCATCACTACGCGATGAATTATGGTTGCAGTTTGGACACACCTGGATCTCCAGATAGCGACAAGAGTCAGTTGCAAATGCCTACGGCAGTGGTGAGATTACCTTCTTTATAGTTTTAGAAAATATGCTTTTGGGATTTAGATTATAGTCTAGTTAGATGATCAGTCTTCTACCACTTGGAATCAATACTAACCTAAATCTTTGGTAATAAGTGGAACGGTTTGATAATTGGTGATCAAATGTTTCGTTGTGAGGGTGTGGCATGAGAAACCCTCTTTAGGAATCCTTGTAACGTGTATGCTTTTGAAGGCTATATTTCGTTAATTATTGTTTTGATGCTAAAATGAGTTTTTGTTTGTTTCTTATACAATAAAGAAAATGTATTGAACTCGTAAGTATATCGCTCATACGGTGTTTTAAATTATGCATTAAAAATGAAAACATTTCCAAGAATACTGATACAAAAAGTTGATTAAAAAATTAATTCCTATCTATACATATAGCAGCTGGGTACTTGTTCGTATTTGATGCACGTGCACTGTTATCAGTAAACCGCGGGAGCTAAAAGCATATTCTAAGCATGCTGTGTAACAAAGAAAATACCGCATTTATAAAATTGCTACTCCATGCAGAAGCCTAGCTTCCATCGTTCTTAACACACACACACGGAACGCAAGCACGAGAAGTTGACAAGAGAGATTACACTTGCTGATAGAGCTTGGAGAGGAGATTGAGGGGGGGGGGGAGGTTTGAGCCAGACGAAAATGCATTATAAAACAAGTCGACGTTCGGCTGAGTAGCAGTAAGAGGCGCAGACAAAAAATAACTTTATAATCAAATTTTAAATTACAATAAAAGATTATTAAAAAGCAATAGCACTGGTGTACAGACGATCCAGATAACAATAGCACTGGTGTACAGACGATCCAGATAACAATAGCACTGGTGTACAGACGATCCAGATAACAATAGCACTGGTGTACAGACGATCCACATAACAATAGCACTGGTGTACAGACGATCCAGATAGCAATAGCACTGGTGTACAGACGATCCACATAACAATAGCACTGGTGTACAGACGATCCAGATAACAAGTTTAGATTCAGTGCTAAAAGCGTCTATAGTTTAAATAGCTTTTAGCCCTGAAACAATGTTGCTACACATATTTACATAGACGTGTATATAGAAAATAGTTTTGTGTATGGTAAAAAAAAAAAACGTAACAGTGAAATATGTATAGCAATTATAGTTTACAGTTTTTTCTTACTTTGTGCAGGTAAATATTTGTAAGATGAAACTGTGGAGCTAATGTTCATGGTTATTACTAATAAATTTACTTACATTAAACAACCAATCTTTGAAGAAAAAATACACATTTATACGAATGTTTTTATATTTTTGTACTTAACCTAAAACTACAGTCTGCTTAAGTTTTAACACTCTTCTCGGAAAGAACGAAACTACCGTAAAACTACTTTTACATTCACTCGTCTATTACTTGCTATAGGTTTCTGAGTTATACGGAAAGAAATGAATAATAATACTATAGTTATTAAAGATGATGAAAAATTATATACACAGATACTTATTTCAACAAGAGGTTGAGTTTTGATCACTGAAGAAAGGTTGTAGATGTTTAGAAAGTTTTCCCTAAAGAGGGCGACACACTACTTGATTCTTATATGTGCCGAGCGTTGTGGGTCTCTCTTGCCAGTAATAGTCCCGTTTGTATGTGATCGTAAACAGTAACACGGAATAATCTTGACTGGTCTGCTTCTCAATTATATTTACAAATATTTCATGATGTAAGTCATGACGAGATGCATATGATCGTGAAGTTTCACACTTTTCTCTGATTCTGAGTAAAATTGTAATACAACAAAATCTTGCAATACTAAATTTTAAGTTAGTAATTGGGACCCGAACTGAATTAAGGTATTTTATAATTACTTTTAGGATATAGTTTGACTTTATGTAAGCAACTAGGATACATGAGAGATTTGGGGTAAGAAACAATGTGAAACGACCATAAGATTTCTGGAGAAAAAAAAAATGTTATATTTACTCAATATTTCGCTAGAAAGATTCTTCTGGAGTGTTCTACAGACATTCTTAAGTTAACAGAGCACTCTTGAAGGAGCTGTAGGTTGAAATGTCGAGTAAATATAACATTTTTTCCCGAAATGACATGGTCGTTTCATACTGTTTGTTAACAGAATTATATAGATGTAGCTGGAATCGGAATTACTTGGACAAATATTAACCTGTCTTAGTTTTAAAAGCAGACTGTTAAAATCAATTGAGCTGTTACTTAATTTTTTGAATATTTATAATAAGATAATTGGACCTGGCGGGTACAAGTGGTTAAGGTACCCGAACTGTGAATTCAAAGGTCCATGATTCCCATCTCGTTGTCGCAGATAGGAGCTCTACACCTTGGAGATTAACGGATTAGAGTAAGCCATGGGTTGACGGTGGGTCATATTGACCAGTTTCCTTTTCTCTAGTCTATCAGTTCAAAATTAGGGACGGCTATCTAAGATAGCCCCTGTGTATCTTTGCGCTAACTTCCAAAACAAACAAACCAATAACATATCACGATTTTATCTCTGAATAGGTCTGTGAGTCATCAACAATATCAGAAGAATCCACTCGAAAGTCCTATATATAGGAATATTGTTTAGAATTACAGAAAAAAGACCGATATAGAAAAAAAAACTTACAGAAAGTTTTAAACAAACTATTTTTTTAGGTTTAGTAAATAATTGTTAATCTTTGTATTTAACCATTCATCCATGTATCTGTTTGTTTGTGTATTCATTCATTAATTTATGTATCTATCTCGAAATGGTGTATTTAAGTGTTTTACACTCACAAAAAAATAAACTTATTATTCCATAGGTATTTGAAGAACTTGTAGCATCTCGCTACAATTTCATTTTTCGTATTGTTAGCCGACACTGGGCAGCTGGTAAATAATTGAATAGAGTTGTTTAAACATTTGTTTAACAACAACCTCACAACTATAAAGGCTTGGTTTGGTCTGATATTTCATTGGTGGTAAGTGTCCAGGGTCACTGATGAGGAGTGGATTTCTCCGAAACTATTCTGGCTCACAGAAACACCCCCACTGAAAGAATAGACCATTTTAAGCATTTACTTGTTGTTAAACAAATGTTTAAATAACTCTATTCAATTATGTATCTATCTATTTGTTTGTTTATCCGTTCAATTATTAATCCATCTATACGTATCTGTGTACTCACGGTAAGGTTGTTGTAATAAGATACCAATCTTTGTCAAGGTTTATAGCCCATACGATCACCTAGGTCTAATTATTAACAATTTACATATTTCATAGAACTAGTTACTAATTAGTTATATCCTACGTTTCAGTTACTAATGTACTGCCATCTTCAAGGAAGTCCTTAGAAATACTTTTTCTGTGTTGATAGTTACTTTGATTCGAGCCTGGGTCTTCTTGATAGAAAGTTTCGTGCGTTATCCACTCGAACCCCGACTTTTAGCGTTGTAAGCCCACAAGCTTACCACGGGGGTAGGGATCAAAGAAGAGAGAGACCGAGATGTTATATATATGTATTGAAGTATATATACACATTTTCTTCGGTTAATGTATTTTCCTATTTATATCTTAATAAAAACGGAAATTTCAGTAGCAGTTGTAGATAAGAACAACTGTTCGTGCATAAAATAAACTTAATGTGGATGTGTCACTCTTTTTTTAAATAATAGTTTACACCTGATATAAATTGTAAAACAGTCAGCTATATTTACGAGAGTAAATTTCAGTAGTAAATGTCACGTAAGTATGCGCACGCGCGCGCGCGTGTGTGTGCCTTGATGCGTGCTTCCTAGTACAATTTGAATAATTATTCAAAAAGTAGGGATGAGTGAAGCGAAAAAATTATGAAAACAGGGCATTTGTTGTCACTGCTGAAACTTGTCAGTGTTTAATCAATTAATGTAATTGTAACTGCATTAAGTTACAAAATTGACCTATTTTTCCATTAGTTAAACTCCTTTGAATAACTGATCAGATCAGATTCAGGTTCTTTTCTTTCATTCCGTGTTGTTTGGTCTGTCCGTGTGCCATTTCTATTCGTTTACCTGAATCATATTAGTGTTGAGGTGTATTTTGAATAAACACCTTACTAGTTGCGTTATCAAGCAATAAAGAAATATAGTTTCAGATCTTCATGTGCATATTTATGAAATGTAATTAGCTAATTGTATTTGCGTTCAATGTTTTCAATCTAGAGTTGTAATGGATTACAATTTGGATGAAAACAACGCCGACAGAATACCAGTGATTTGGAATCTGATTATTACTATAATCTGAAACAAACAACATTACTCTAAATAACAAAAACCTGGGGCTATCTTGCAAAGTTAGTGCATGTTTGTAAAAAATAAAATAAATAGGGGAAAGGTAGTGCCGCTGAGAGACCTGCGTATGCATGCGCACAACTGTAACTGAATACACAGCTTCAATAATAAAATACCTTTTACCGTTCTCAAGGTAGTGCCGCTGAGAGACCTGCGTATGCATGCGCACAACTGTAACTGAATACACAGCTTCAATAATAAAATACCTTTTACCGTTCTCAAGGTAGTGCCGCTGAGAGACCTGCGTATGCATGCGCACAACTGTAACTGAATACACAGCTTCAATAATAAAATACCTTTTACCGTTCTCAACAGTGTATAAAATTTCAAAAATAAATCAGTACCATGAACAACAGAAAATAACGCCTCTTTTAAACACAATTCTGTGTTTACGCGAAATTGAATAATGAGAGTAACATGTTCAGTCAAATTTAAGCTTACACACTTTGAAGGAGTAACACTTCCATACTCCCTTACACACTCGTCTGCAGATGTTTGAAGGAGTAACACTTCCATACTCCCTTACACACTTGTCTGCAGTTGTTTGAAGGACTAACACTTCCATACTCCCTTACACACTTGTCTGCAGATGTTTGAAGAGTAACACTTCCATACTCCCTTACACACTCGTCTGCAGATGTTTGAAGAAGTAACACTTCCATACTCCCTTACACACTTGTCT